ACTCCTATTTTGCAGAGTTTAGAACAAAAAAAACCCAACAAAAACCAGAACCTGTTTTCCTGATGCCAGAGGAGCAAGGGCTGGCATCGCCTGCAGGTAGCCGCTGACATATGGAGGAAAACGGTAGCTCTCTCCTGCCCTCAGAATTAACGATGAAGAAACTGATGGGAGCAGCAGTTCTAAGAGCAGACCTGTTCCTCTGCTATTGGGTGGTTTCCACAGAGAGGTTCAAAGCAGGGGTGCAGTCAAGAAGAACTCAAGGGTAAGCGAGTTCACTTATTATTTTAAGCAATGCAAAGTTTGCACTTTTTATAATACAGCAAAATAAGAGCACATGGCCCTGCTGAGTTATTTATTGCAACACCTCTGAGTTAGCAAAAGGTGCCTTTGCTACTCCCACAAAATGGCCTTATAATTTTTCCTTCCGCTGAAGTGCCAGATCTGCCAACACTGAAAAAAGAGATGGCATGTCCTGCACTTCACTTAGTACTGGTGACAAAAAGGAGCAGAAAGGACCCACAGACCTGACCAAGCACTCAGTTGGATCTTTCTCCATTTCAGATTTAGAGTTAAGCCTGCAGTAAGAAGTAAACGAGTGAATATAGAAGAAGGGATGTTATCTCAGTGGGGAGAAAGGCACTGCAGGTTGTTCAACAAACCACATGTGGTTGCTGAGCTCATGGTCCCACCTGGCCCCGGTCATGGTGACTGTCACCCTGACAGGCCACCTCAGACCCAGCTCTCAGGTGACTGACTACAGCTGATTCCTCTGGCTCAGTCATTTCTCCCATTCATGGCCACACTCAGACTAGATGGATAACAAATTTTGTGTGGACTAGGTGAAAAACTGCAGAATTATCCTTGTGCTAAGTGTATTAGGCGGATGATGCTGAAAATAATAGCATCCTTTGCAGTCACACCAGCACAATGAAGCACTGAGTCTCCAGGCAAGCCCCAGGACCTGCCTGAAGCTAAGCCTTGGACAAAACTTTCAGAGCATGGCCACCTTCTTGAGAGCAAACTTCTTACTAGACACAACATGAGCCATCCTCTGTCCTTCCACTAACCACAGAAAGTGACTGCATGAAAAATCATTCAAAACAGACTATTTCTGTGAAAAACTATCATCTTATCTCCAACAAGATACACTAATGTCACACTAATGTCCTAAACAGAAAGCCTGCCTACCATCTTGAGCTAAAAAAAAAGCCATACTCTGTAGCTGAAAATTGCTACCAGCCTGTGTCCCTTGCATGCCGTGCACAGCCATGCCTAACACGCACCAGCAACTGTTTATCTTTTATTAATGACTTCTGACCCCGAGGGCAGTTTCCATTTCTTGTCCACTTTCTCTGCTTTAGAAGCAGCACATTTTGGAGGCAGCGGGGCTGGCGCTGCCTTCCTTTCTCTGCCGTTTACTTCTGTGCAAGTGCAAAGCCTTGGGCAGCAAGCACCAGGGGAGCCACCAAAGCCCTGTCCTTCAGCA